GTTTTGTCTAGGTAAATGCATCGCGACAAGAAAACAAGCTGCAGGAAGAGTGTGACCTGCTGATTAATATCATACAGCAGCGAAGACAAATCATAGCTACCAAGATAAAGGAGGGCAAGGTACCGTTTATCACACTTTGTATCTCGATAGCTTTTGTTTGTTTGTTTATCACCTCGTCCATGTTGATAACCTTGCTTCTTCACCCTAGGCTGCTGTTCTTATTAGAATACAGCAATAACAAATCACAGATGATGGGTAAAAAAAAAGACTCTTCACACGTCTACTGCTCAAAGGGAGAGTATGTAACGCACGAAGGACGCATAAGTGATGTAATGCAACGTCTACAAAGGAAGATAAAAAAAAAATGAAGAGTTAAACATATATGTATTGTCTAATACAAATCAGCAGTAGGAAAAGCATTGCAATTGAAAAAGCACTGTACAGTAGTTTAGTATTAAAAACACTATGATTTACTGTATTAATGATGTCCCAGGGATCTTCCAGGAATGGTGATACTATCTTCCAGGGAACTGATTGGTCAATGATTTCATGCCTGCTGATCTCTAATCTTCAATATAACCTGCTCTAGAGGCAAAAATGTGAACTGCCTTTATCATAAAGCAAACCCATGGTAACCCTGAAGTTACCTGGATAAGCCAAAATCAGGCTTTCACAGTGTAGGCCTCTGATTTGACTGGTGGCCAGTGTTAGCTAATGTGGGCAGACACATACTGCTTTGTAATCTGTACTGATGTTAGTTCTTTAAATGTGACATTTGGCTCCATCTGGACACATGTTACACTACATAAAAGCAGGTCTTGATACAGGTCTTAGTTTGCTTTCCAGGCAGCATAAACTTTTGTATAGTTCTAATAATTCATGGAGGAAGGATGACATTTTTTCCGGTTTCTGGTGACCATAATGGTTCTCAGACGTGTTTTCTTTGTTAGTAGCAGGGACTTTTCCTGCCAAGAGGAACCGTGGACATCAATAAAACAAAACAAACAAAAAAAAGTGAACATTAGCTAAACATCAGCTATGCAAGCAACAATTTTTTACAGTCTAACAAATTTGCAATGCATGGAGAAATGAGCAGTCTGTGAAGTGTTTGGCTTATTGAAACTCACACTGTGTTGCAAAGTAGAGAAAAAATAAAGAAAACTGAAACAGGATTATGGGAAAGTGAAAGTAAAGGAACACAGAAAGCGTGGATGGTGCTGTAGCCACCACTGGTCAGCTATTAAGTCCCTTCAGAGTTCCTATTAGCCATGTAAATGTAAACAGAAGGCAGCCCTGAAAATGTGTTGTTCTCACTGGGTAGCTTCTCTCCCCTGCCCCCCAGCAATCACCACTGGCTTTTCAAAAGCAGCTTTTATCAAAAATATACAAATAGTAAAACGTAGCACACATTACCGTGATGTTTACTGTTTCCTGCTTCACATCTTATTGAGTATTCAGTCAAGCTGCCTAACAGTGGGGCTGTTTTAGCAACTGACTGAGAAGAATCTTCAGGGAAAGAACAAAAAAACACATGTGGCAAACAGACACATGCTTCAAGAACTAAAATGTAATTGCTTGCTATCCTGTTAATGTGAACAATTATAGGGCAACAAGCAAATATATTTTTGCCACTGTTTAGGTAGATTTAGGCACAAAAACAATTTACTTGGCTATGTTAAGGTTAAAGAATACAATATAGAATAGTTAAAAGAAAAGCTGACTTTGGATTCTAAAGAGAAAACAAATTGCAGTTCTCTTCTGCAGTGTGGACCTGTGTTTCAACATATTGATGGCCACTTATACTGACGAGAGTTTATTGCTTTGTTTTGTCCTCAGTATCAGGAGCGGGTGTCCATAATTTTAATATGGATGTGTTATGCCTCTTGAATGGTTTCCCTTCCTTTTCCCCTGTCCGCCTTAGAGAAGCGGGAGCATGCTGTGCCATGTTCAGTGTCAGACTAAGATGAGTCTTGCTTCCTGTGATGGTCCACTCTGGAGGGGGCCTCTTTCCTTCCACACCTCATGGCTCATGACACAGGTTGTGAGGTTGCTTTCAGCCACTAAGCCATTGAGCCACAGAGGGGGGTTAGAAGGGTCTGGTTTCTATGACAATACTGTGTAGGATGTCTCATGAATACCCCTCTTATGCAAGTATTGCTTATAAAACAGGTTGTAGGACAGACTCTTGTGACTATGACACTACTGAAAAATCAGAGTTTTTTTCTCCCCAGCAGGATTTCCTTATTGGCAAAGTGAAACCCAATTTTACATTGGATAAGTTGCCGTCTCATAGGTCATGCATCGGTTGGTAGTTTACTAAGCTATTCATCTGTCTGCATATCCTATTTTCTGCCCAGTCTGTGAGGCTGAGGAAGCTAGCCCAGCAGATAGCTGGCTGCAAGCAGTGCATTGAGAGGTCCTCCTCGCTCATCACCCAGGCTGACCAAACCCTCAAGGAGACAGACCACGCTCGCTTTCTTCAGACAGCTAAAAGTATCTGCGAGAGGTGAGACACCAGCGAAAGGCAGACACGGGAACAAACAATAGAAACTGTGTGTAAAACTGTCGCCACATATTAATGTTAATATTTTCTTTGTACCAGAGTGTCTATGGCAACAGCATCCTCCCAAATCCTGTTACCAGAAATTAACCTGAATGACACATTTGATACTTTTGCTTTGGACTTCACAAGGGAGAAGAAAATGCTAGAAAGCTTAGATTACCTCACAGGTGAGTCGGGCCACGCATGTTAAGCACAGAGCATTTAATTGTTTGAAATGAATCCTCCATGTAAATTACTATAATCTGTTTGCTTGTTTAGTACCGCCTGATCAGTTTCCCCAAAACTTTCTTTTTCATACGATTTGCCGGCTTCCTTTATTGAAAGATGCACTTAAAATGAACCACAGCTTATCCGTGAATTATGGATTTATAAAATTACAGGCTTCGGCAAGCATAACAGCGGTGAGTTCATATTTAAACTATGTGATTGTGAAGGAGTGGCAGAAAACTAAAAAGCTCATATAATTTACAGCAATAGTTTTTTTGCTGCTGAATGAAACAGGTTTGATTGTTTATGCACGGCTCCTGTTGTGCACTGTGAATTTAACTCAGCGTGGGGGATGTAGCTGTAATAGCTGGAGGAACTCCAATATAGATTAATTACACTTGTCAGAATAAAGGACACATGCAGACACTCACACAAACACACACGTGCATACACACAAAGGGCTGGTGCTGTTTATCCATCACTGGTCTCTGTTTGTTATTTTGATGTTGTGTGCAGAATGAAATCAACACTGCTTTCATTATTTTCTCTGGGCAACATTTACCTTTTGTTTTGTGTTTGAAGCGCCAAATCCACCAGTAATCCGCGAGGAACTCTGTACAGCTTCATATGACACGATCACGGTTCACTGGACATCAGATGATGAATTCTCTGTTGTATCATACGAGCTACAGTATGCCATCTTCACCAGCCAATCTAATGTTGTCAGTAAGTCCATATGTTGTTTTCTAAAGGAACCACAGTCAAATGTTTGGGGTGGAAAACACGATAGTGGTGGGATTTGAAAAGGATTTCTGAGAAAGATTTTCAAATAGTTCGAGGGGGTATGCTACAATATCCAAACATAATATTGTGTTTTAGCTGCTGGAGTGGAGAGCATTGTCCTGGCTCTCGTGGGTAATGAGATGTTTCCAAAATGCACTGTAATTTTTGCTGCATCTCAGAAGGGAAAGGAAAATAACAGTCAGACTGGATTTACATCCAGATGCACATCGTAAGCTGGATATTATCTCGGGGTTGAAATAAAGAGCAGACCGCTCGAATTGATCGCCCTAATTAGCCACAACATGCTCGATCAAGCATTTATTCTTATCTGCCTCAGCGCTCGAGCACACTTGAGTAGCAGTGCAACTATACTTGATGAATTAAAAATAGCAGCCTTAGATTGAAAGAGTTCATGTTGTTATACTGTGTTGTCTCACTCCTTAGTTTAAACTTAGTAATAATTCTCATGGTGAATTTGTGCTTTGTCTATAGGTTTGTGTAAATCTGCTGATAGCTGGATGATAGTACCAAACATCAAGCAAAATCACTACACGGTGCACGGACTCCAGTGTGGCACCAAGTACATTTTCATAGTGAAAGCAATAAACCAGGCTGGAACCCGCAGCAGTGAACCAGGGAAACTCAAGACAAACAGTACGTCAGCAGCTGTTCAGAAATGCTTGTGTTACTAAATAATTATTAATACTTGACAATTGTAATTAATACTTTTTTTTTAAATTGTAAGGTCAGCCATTCAAACTGGAACCAAAGTCTGCTCACCGGAAGCTGAGGGTGTCCCATGACAACCTGACAGTAGAGAGGGATGAGACATCGTCCAAGAAGAGCCATAGTCAGGACCGCTTCTCCAGCCACAGCAGCTACGGTGTCACGGGAAATGTCTACATCGACAGTGGGCGCCATTACTGGGAGGCTCTGATTGGGGGAAGCACATGGTAAAACATTTAAGTTCGTAGCATGGCTCACAGGTAGTTCAGTGTCAGACTCCTGGTTGGCTGGACTCAAGACTAAACAAAGATAGGCTCGCTAGTCATTGGATAGATTTCCATGAAATTTGCTACATTGCTACAGTTAGAATGTCTGCTCTTATTTCTGCTTAAGTCTGTAGATGTATTGTTTTTATGTAAGCGTGAATGATGTTTCAGATTTAGAATGTTACTACTAAACCTGTATTTATGAAATGTAATTATTTCCTCTCGTTGGTTACGCAGGTTTGCAGTAGGAATTGCGTACAAGTCAGCGCCGAAACACGAGTGGGTCGGCAAAAACTCAGCCTCCTGGGTAATGTCTCGCTGCAACAACTCATGGGTGGTGCGTCACAACAGTAAAGAGATTCCCATCGAGCCCTCGCCCCACTTGCGGCGTCTCGGGGTGTTGTTGGACTATGATTCTGGATCTCTGTCTTTTTATGACGCTGTTGGTTCTCAGCACTTGTATACGTTTGACATTGACTTTGCTCAGCCAGTCTGCCCTGTGTTCAATGTTTGGAACAGATGCCTAACAATCCTGAGTGGACTGCCTATCCCCGATCACTTAGAGGGAACAGACTACAATAACTGATAAACCTGCCCCGTCTTTCCTGGATTTTCTTTTTTGTATCCAGAAAGGGACTTGATAGTGTGCACCTTTGAAAAAAAGAAAAAAGGATACAGTGACATTGGTGTAGATTTCCAAAACTAATCTGAGCTATTTAATAAATGTTTTCTTTGCTTTGCACATTTATGTACATTACTCTTTTGGTTGGTGACAATTCCAAATTCACTAGCTGGCTCCACATTTTTTTACATTCATATTGCACACTTTTTTATTAATATACTTTTAAGGAAAATGGCGAATTTTTAATGACATCTATTAAGGGGGCTCATATGTTTGTGGAAGGTTGATTTAGAGGCCATTGGAAATTTTGTGTTTTTGAACTTTTTTAAGTCGTAGCACTTTGATAAAGTTGTCATTATAATATAAATGATTACTTGTCAATGTTTCTAAGAAAAAAAAAACATGTAAATGCAGGATCTAAGAATAATAGTTAAGAACGGTTTCACTTTTTTTAATTCTAATAAGAAATCAGTCAATTCAGGGGTTTTTATGTATTTATTTCTGAAAATGTTCTAGTAAAGTTTAGCATCTCGGGAATATTCATCTCCTCATTATAGCCGTTTTAAAATGGATCTTCATCATAATTATGCCATTTTAAGTTTCTCTGACAAGATCTAATAAAAGTGACTTCGCATGATTATTTGCGTGACTATCCTCCTTGTGTCATGAATAATGCAATCCACAAATGTGTTTCAGTAGGGCTGTCACCAAAGCAGATTTGGACAGGATAATAGCATACTGAAAAACAACTGACAACAAAGGATTCACTGCAAGTTCTATAGAAATTTTGAAGAAAATAACAATTAATTTTTTAAAAATCTGTGCATTGACTTTTCTCTCTCTTTCTGACTGACTGATAACCCCCCCCCCCCCCCC